ATTGCGATTAAAATACGATTAATTGAGCAGCCCTAAATATGATCTGTGTAAAACTTAGCACTAAAACTAGAGGAAAAGAAGTGAGTCGGAGCATTGTTGGAGCTAGTTAATCTAATCCATGGAGGGGGGGGCACAAGCTGCTTACACTCAACCTGGAAACCAATGCAGAGCTTAATTAAAGCGCTAAATGACGTGTTTTAGCCTCTCTAAACTGAGTGGGGAGCGCTAACGGCTAAGCTACCACCCAATGCTTCACTTATTAGAGACTGTAGTCAGATGAAATGATACGGTTATCCTCCTAATGACGGAAGATGCTCCTCTTAGGGATTACAATATGCACTGATAACGTCTGCTAATGAGGAGGACATTAGGAAACCCTTGAGCCGGATAGAAAAGCTGCCAAGCTCAGTCAGAAGTCAGAGTGCTGGAAGAGCTATGTTAAGGTTAAAGTAAATTAGGTAACTTAAGAACCACTATGACATCACAGAGACTCTACAAGAATACAAATAATAATGATATAAAAAATAGAATAATAATAAAATGTAAAACAATACAATTAAAATAAATAAATAATACAACTAAAATAATAAAAAGGGATAAAATACAAATTAAATAATAAAATTAAAAGGAATACAATTATAATAAAATACAAATATTAAAAAGGAATAAAATCAGAATTCAATACAATTCAGTTAAAAGTCAAATGAAAGGGTGGGTCTTGAGTTTGCTCTTCAAAGAGACATCAAACACAGACATCCGAATGCAAGTGCGCGTGTGCGTGCGTGCGTACGTGTGTGTGTCCATGCTTGCCAGCTTGTGTAAAGTTGACTCAGAGGCTGTTTCTGTAATTGTAGCCAGTGTGTGTCTACATGCAGAAATGTCCTGTTAGTCTCATAAAACTACATCTCAGACGTCGATGGTGGTGGAGTGAGTGTCGGTCAGCCATGTCACACACGGCTCATTTTGATGACGCGCCTGTGCTCTGGAGATCAGCTGCTCGTCCCTGTTTGTCTGTGCTGTGTTAAAGCGGCCGGTGGCCTACTTTCTGTGGCCAATGCAAGATGGCCACTGCTACAGAATCAGCTCTGCTCTCCAGGCAGACACGTCACACACACACACACACACACCATGTATACATCACTTCAGGGGACATTACATTGACTTACATGCATTTCCTGGAGACTTATCCTAACCTTAACCATAACCAACACATGCCTAACCCTTAACCTAACCCTTACCCTAATCCTAAACCTAAACAGATGTAGATCCCCACAAGTATAGTAATGCTAGGCCACACACACACACACAAACACAAACACGGTGATGAATATGCAAATAATTAATACCAGAATGATTTTGGATCAATTACTTAATTTGCAGACACATTTACAGCCAGGAGTCCTGCTTAAATGTAAAACTACTGATCTAAGATTTAACTAATGATATTTCATAAAGTCACCAGCCGAAGTTCAAAACAATTATCAGTTAAAAAAAAATCCTAAATGTAAAGAAGGTAATTTATTGGATGAAATTGCTACGTTATTTTAAGTAAACATTGAATGCTTTGCGTTGAACTGCCAATTTCTTGGAAATCGTTCTCAAATAATAATTAACCTTTTTAAGTTTCTCAAATGTGAATTTTTCCGCATTTAACATCACATTGTAGGTGTTTCAATTATATAAAGAAAAATAAGTGTCACTAGTCTTTTAAAAAGTGCTATTACACAGTGAATGATATATTGAACGAATTAGGGAGGATCAATCAAAATTAACGGGCTGTCAAAGCATGGAATAAATAATATATTGTATTGATGAAAATCCAATGGCAATAAAGTTGAGTGTGTGTGTGTGTGTGTGTGTGTGTGTGTGTGTGTGTGTGTGTGTGTGTGTGTGTGTGTGTGTGTGTGTGTGTGTGTGTGTGTGTGTGTGTGTGTGTGTGTGTGTGTGTGTGTGTGTGTGGTGTGTGTGTGTGTGTGTGTGTGTGTGTGTGTGTGGCAGGGAATTGACATGTCCATTCCCCTCTAGCACTGTTCACTGCATCTCCATGGAAACAGAGCAACCTGTCACTCTGGGGAGCTACCGATGTGATTTAGACAGAGGTCAAAAGTTAATCAAGTATGTCTTCTGGATCCAAATCACCTACTCTGAAATCTCAAACATGGGAACAGGTAAAAAAAAAAAACATATTCACATTGAGAATATGGGAGAATACTCAGATATATTACGTAAAGAGAACCTCATATTATATTTAGTGTCTGCAGCACCTCTTTTCACCCTCTGTCTTTATCCCCTACGTGGCACCCGCTCTGGGACACGCTACCGCAGCCTCCCGGGTAGAACCAACAGGACTACGCACAGCTTCTTCCCTCCAGCAGTCAGACTGCTGACAATGAACCCCACGCTGTCCCATACTGCCTAGTTGTTGTCGTGTGCTGTGCTGAAGCGCAATTATCCTTGTACATTACTGTTTTATATACAGTACTGTATTCACTGTATTTATTATTATTTATACATTTCCCATCTATTTACCTTTATATCATTTATTTTGTAAATACTTCTGATAACTGTGTAAATAACTGACTGGTTTGCACTCTGGTTAGACCCTCCTTGATTTCGTTACACTGTGCTTGTATTTTGTAATGACAATAAAGTAATCTAATCTTAGCCTATCACGTAATGTGTTGGAGGGCTAGCCAATAGAAACTTGAGTGTAAGGTAGTGATGTCATAATGTTCAGTAACTTTCTCTTGACCTCAGTTGGTACTATATTGTATTTTTTCAGCTGTGTTTGGAATAAATGGTCAAATAAACGTAAGAAGTGAAGCGGATTTGTTTGTGTGCTTGTGACGAAGGTAACTTCGTCACTATGGACTGACTGCTTCAGGCCGGGTAATTGTGTGCACCTGGTGTCCTGTGTTGTCTCCTCCCCCCTCACCTGTGTCTTGTTGTGCTGATTAGTGTGTGTATTTAGGCTCTGTTTCCCTGTCTGTTGGGAGGCTGGTAGTGTGTGAGATCCTTGTGGCTGGAAGGATGTGAGCACAGGAACAGCAGGATTGAGGCTGTGTCCTGTGCTCAAGTTGAATAAATGCCCACGTCGGGTTATATTTTTGGACGTTCTGCCTCTGCCTCCTTGCTTGGTCTGGGCCGCTCAACGGTCAGCTTCACAGCGTCAAAGTGTTTTCTTCCCATATTTACAGCATGGATTTGATTCAGAAAGAAACAAGATAATGTCTCACTCAAACAGCATTTTGAGAGTGCCTAGCTTCCCTAATGTGATCTATTTTCTGTTTACATAAAGTCAGAGAAGGACATGGAGGAAACACGCAGGGAGAGACATGCATTCGAGAGTTTGAAAAATGTGTGTTTTGGTTTGACTGAAGAAGCTTAAAGATTTGTTTAATTCAAGAAACGTTTTTTTTTGTTAACTAAAGTTCACAAACCACATCAGGACGAACAATGCAGGAGATAGTCGAACTAGTTTCCTTAATTATTCCACTACTGCAGTTTAAAAACATAAATCTGTAGGAATCACATCAACCCTGAAGTTTGATTATGTTTCTCTGGTGCAATGTTCATGATATGAATCTACTTCACATTCATAGCTGCATGACTGCAGACCTTAAAGCTAACCCACCTCTGAGCAGTCTTAAAGAAAAGCTTGTGGATATTTCATGATATTTTCAGACCAGGATTCAAACGGAGAGCAAAAAAAGACACAGGAAAGACATGAAGCTTCCTCTACAGTGGGATATATTTATAGATGTCTCAGACTGAGCAGAAAAAGCTCGGCCCAGTTCCAAACCAAACCCCAGCTGCCTTCATGATTCGACCCTTTGATAGATGGAGCACAAGGTACTGCAGTGTTCAGAGCGCTGGAAGAGATATCAGATAGAAAGTCTTCTGAGCGGAAGGAAGACCAGAAGAAGGGAGGAGATGTTCAAACGGAGAAAAACTGTGCCAAGCTTTTCCAGATAAAGCTCAAGGAGAGCGATCAGTCTTCTTCTCTTCCTCCTGCGCCCTCATTATAAGAAAGTCGGTGGTGCGTTTACCTCTCAGGCTGATTCCTAGTCATGGGTTGCGGTTGAATTGTCAGAAATAAACGGTTTCATAACCATTATTCCTTAAAGGGGCCTATGCGAACGTTCAGGTACATTAGTATTATTATCCTACTGCCTGTGCTGCAGCACCTCTTTTCACCCTCTGTCTGAAACCAGAGCCAAGTCTACTCTGATTGGTTAGCTGGCCGGCTCTGTTGTGATAACACACTACAGGAAAGGAAAACCAAAACCAGCACAATAGGGCCTCTTTAACATCAAGTTTAAAACACATTAGCACTTCACGGCATAAGTGTTAAAATGTTTAATAAGCACCGTAACTTAAACAAGAGTTCTGTTTGTCGGTTGTTTTTGTGAATGTTGTGGCACGTTAAATGTTGCAAGGTATTGTGGGACAGAACGATCTCCTCACCTTTTGATAGGATAGCAGTGTTTCCTAAGCTAAAGAAGATAATAAAGGAAGCATGGAAGCTCCTTTATTATCATCGAGAGCATTCAAACAGCTCTTATCATGGCTTCATTTCCCTCAGTTAGAAACACTTCCTCAGCCAAATTGACATTTCCACTTCAAACCTGCTGAGAACTGTTTGTCTCGCTCCAGACAGGAAGTGGTCACCAGATATGGAGGAAGTCACATAGAGTCAGTGGTTTTGGGAATGCCATGTTTGGATGTTTTATACAATCTAATAAGTGGCATCTCCTCG